GAGTTGCAGTTTTACCTGGTGGTGGCTTTGGCCTTGATCTCGGTGCTGTTCCTCCTTTCGGTGATTCTGGCGGTTGCTCTGCGCCTGCGCCGCTCCTCCAGCCCAGCTGTCTGGAGCTGCTTTCCGCAGGATCTCAGTTCCAAGTCCGGACCTGGGGTTCTCCCCAGTTACAGTGAAGGGACTTTGCCTTATTCCTACAATCTGTGCGTGGCTTCACGATTAGCTAAGACAGAGTTTACTTTTTCCAACCTGAAACCAGACATGGTTCCTTCTCGGGATCTCCTTTGTGACGATACTTCTGTGGATGTATGTGTCAGCAGTGAAGACCCCCCGAATCGTTTCTGATTCGTCTTTTGCGTTTTACGTGAGTTTCTGCAAACCTGTTTTTATTCTCAGTCGTGCATAATTATTTATTATTGTTCATTTTCCTAGTGATGTTAGTAGTAGGAGAGGTGTATTGGATGGGTGGAGATTGGTGTCTTGATTGCTCAGTAGTCTTGGTAGTTAGCTGATTAGAACTTCTCAGTCTGTACTGTTGACGATTTTGTATGTTCAGAAAATATTGCTAAAGAGATCTTGTTCTTGGATGCCACTGCCTTTAGTAATAACACTGCCTGTGTTAGCTGATGTGTGATACTATTTTTTTCAAGCTTTATTCTTAGTATAGGTGCTACCAAAGGAAGCACTTCAAGCTTTATTCTCTATGAATTTACTGACAGTTCTTTCTGCTTAAGTTAATGTTCATCTTCATCAAATATATTTTTTTTCATCTTTTTGCTGCAATATGTATTTTTTTAAAGATTTTATTTATTTATTTGAGAGAGAGGCAGTGAGAGAGAGCATGAGAGAGGAGAAGGTCAGAGGGAGAAGCAGAGCTGGGAGGGAGCTGGGAGCCCGATGTCGGACTCGATCCCGGGACCCCGGGATCATGACCTGAGCCGAAGGCAGTCGCCCAACCAACTGAGCCACCCAGGTGTCCCTGCAATATGTATTTTTAATTGAGCCTTCAGGAATTAAGTCTCAGCATTTCTTTGCTTATCACATGTAGCAAAGACTGATTTGGATCACTAACTTTGGGTCAGTTTTATTCTCACTCTATTATCTCATTCAAAAATAACCTTCTGGGCATCTGGCTGGCTCCATCAGTAGAGCATGTGAGTCTTGATCTCCAGGTTGTGGGTTCGAACCCCACGTTGGGTATGAAGATTGCTTAAAAATAAGATCTCTAGGGACACCTGCGTGACTCAGTTGGTTTAGCGTCTACCTTCTGCTCAGGTCATGATCCCAGAATCCTGGGATCAAGCATGGTGTCCAGCTCTCTGCTGGGGGTGGGGGGGCACCTGCTTCTCCCTCTCCTTCTGTCTACTGCTCCATCTGCTTGTGCTCTCTCTCTCTGTCAAATAAATACAATCTTTACAAAAAATAAGATCTTTAAACAAATAATCTTAACCATTCTGAAATAATTTTTATACTCTTTCTACTTTTTGACTGTTATAATAAGGAATGTATTGAAACTTTTTGTATATAAAGCCTCTTCCGTGTTTCTTTCTTTTTTTAGTATAGGTTTCTGAGAAGCGAATCAAAGTTTTTCACATCTCATTTACCTCCCAGTCCCCAGCAATTTGTGACTCCTTTGAGGATTGTGAAAATTACCTTTACTGTGCTCTCCAAAGTCTGATGATTTTACAATTCTGAATAAATAGTGGGCTTTCTTGTCTGATTAAAATTTATAAGTAACTTCTAGAAGCTAATTATTATGTGAGGAGTAATCTAAAGAACTGGCTACTTCCTGCTTTATATTAAATTTTCTAAGATTAGTTAATCACTCAAAGTACTCATATGTAAGAAAGCTTAAACATGCAGTTATAATATATATACAACTACTAAAAATTTTCCTTTTAGTGGTTTTTTTTTAAAGATTTTATTTATTTATTTGACAGAGATCACAAGTAGGCAGAGAGACGGGGCGGGGGGAAGCAGGCTCCCTGCTGAGCAGAGAGCCCAATGTGGGGATTGATCCCAGGACCCCTGATCATGACCTGAGTGGAAGGCAGAGGCTTTAACCCACTGAGCCACCCAGGCGCCCCTTAGTGGTTCTTTCTAAAATCACACCTAAAATAAACTAATAAATGATAGTAAAATAATACACTTAGGATGTGTCCTTATATGAAAAGATACTGAATATTGTCTCCTTTTTACAGACAAAGCTTCAGTTTAACTCTCCTGTCTTCTTTATTGTTTATTTTTAACATCAGAGTTACCCATTGATTTAGGGCTTTGCAGTTATATTAGTAATGCACTCACTAAATACTGAAAAACTGTTTGAGTATCTACTCTATGAAAGATGCTGTTCTAAAGTTTGAGGAAACATTGTGAACATAATAATCACAAACATAGCCTGTGACCTAAAATCTTGTGTATACAAAATTAATGAACAAATTAGCTTCCCAAAATTATTATCATATTTGCTAGGCTCATTTGCACAGGAGAAAGACTAGCTCTTGAACAGGAGATATTTTCTTACAAGAGAATTGAAAAGTTGTCCCAGATTCTAAAGGGTCAACTCATGTGAGGAAACTTGTTTCTGCATAGATAAGGACCCAGAGACCTAGATCTCAGACCTCCAACCTCCCTGACCTGACACTGTTTTTTCACCTATTCTTTCATTCTTCAAGTTCATCCTGTTTCTGGGAAGGATAAATGTGCCCCTCACACAATGCACTGCACTGAAAATGGACTAGGAACAAAAATAATGGAAAAACTTAAAAAGAGTTTTAAAAGAGAAAAAGTTCTTAGAAAAATCACCATATTTTATTTGAAAATAAATAAATTGGTTTGGAAGATTTATTGTACAGTAAGCTTTGGATCATGCCTGGATTTTCATTGCAAGTAAAACAACAAGAGCTTGAATTTTATTTTTGTGGGGGACAAATAGGTTATGGAAAAGAAATGGTATAAACAGGTAGTGCTTTTCTTCACCAAGAATAGGTTGTAGTAACAGGTTAGGACTCTGAGTGTCGCTGTTCACCAATCAGGGGAAACAGATAACCAGGAATTTAATCCAAACCAAAAGATCTCTGCATCACAAAGCATTAGCCCTGCGGCTTAAGGAAAGCTAAAGACTGGACCCCCGAACTCCAACGTTCAACGGTGAAAGCGCAAAATCTTGGACCTTGAAGATCCTGGGTCTTCTCCGGTCTCCACTGAGGAAACGCCAAGAGGAAGCTGCTCTGAGGCGGGGCGGTAATGGCGGCTGGTCCTTATCGCCCAAAATGCAGCCGGCTGGTCGGGATCTGCGTTCTCCTAGGGGCCCTGTGGAAAATCCAGGCCGAACAGATCCGCTACTCAGTGCCTGAGGAGTTGGAGGAAGGCTCTTACGTGGGCAGTATCGCCAAGGACCTGGGACTGGAGCCTCTGGAACTGTCAGAGCGCGGAGTCCGCATCATCTCCAGAGGTAAGACGCAGCTCTTTGCTCTGAACCCGCGAATGGGCAGCTTGGTCACCGCAGGTAAGATAGACCGGGAAGAGCTGTGTGATAGATCTCCCAAGTGTGTAGTAAGCCTGGAGATTCTTCTGGAGGACAAAGTAAAGATTTTTGGAGTAGAAGTGGAGATCATCGATGTTAATGATAACGTGCCCAACTTTGGGACAGAGCAAAGGGAAATAAAAGTTGCTGAAAATGAAAGTCCTGGGACAAGATTTCCTCTTCCTGAAGCTTTTGATCCAGATGTTGGCGTAAACTCCCTGCAGGGTTACCAGCTCAGTTCCAATGTTCACTTCTCCCTAGACGTGCAAAGTGGAGCGGACGGCATTAAGTACCCTGAGCTGGTGCTGGAGCTTGCTCTAGACAGAGAAGAGGTGGCGGTTCACCACCTCCTTCTCACCGCCTTTGACGGGGGTGACCTGGCTCACTCTGGTACTGTCAAGATTCATGTAACACTTGTGGATACCAACGACAATGCTCCCGTATTCACTCAGCCAGAATACCACGTGAAGGTTCCAGAGAACGTGCCAGTGGGCTACCGGCTACTCACTGTAAAAGCCACTGATCCAGATGAAGGAGCCAATGGAGAAGTAACCTATTCTTTCCGTAAAGTGAGAGAGAAAATGTCCCAACTATTCCAGTTGAATTCTTTGACTGGGGACATAACAGTATTGGGGGATCTAGATTATGAAGACTCTGGATTCTATGATATAGATGTAGAAGCCCATGATGGACCTGGTCTCCGAGCCAGAAGTAAGGTACTGGTGACAGTTTTGGATGTAAATGACAATGCTCCAGAAGTCACTGTTACATCTCTCATCAGCTCTGTCCAAGAAACTTCTCCCCCAGGTACAGTAATTGCACTTTTCAATGTGCACGACAGTGATTCAGGAGAGAATGGCTTTGTCACATGTTCTATTCTGGATAATCTGCCATTCACACTTGAAAAGACCTATGGAAATTATCATCGGCTATTGACATGCAGAACACTGGATAGGGAAGAAGTTTCAGAATATAATATCACGGTAACTGCCACTGATCATGGAATGCCACCACTTTCTACAGAAACTCAAATCTCACTGCAGGTGGTAGACATCAATGACAACCCACCTGCTTTCCCTCATGCTTCCTACTCTGCCTACATTCCTGAAAACAACCCCCGAGGAGCCTCCATTTTATCCATGTCTGCCCAAGACCCTGACAGCATTGAGAATGCCAGAGTCACATACTCCTTGGCTGAAGACACACTCCATGGGCTGTCTCTGTCTTCCTATGTTTCCATCAACTCTGATACTGGTGTCCTGTATGCACTGTGCTCCTTCGACTTTGAGCAGGTTAGAGACCTGCAACTATTGGTGAGAGCCAGCGACAGTGGGAACCCTCCACTCAGCAGCAATGCGTCCTTGAATATTTTCATTGTGGACCAGAATGACAATGCCCCTGAAATCCTGTACCCCTCTCTCCCCACTGACGGTTCCACAGGCGTGGAGCTGGCGCCCTGCTCTGCAGAGCCTGGCTACCTGGTCACCAAGGTGGTGGCAGTGGACAGAGACTCTGGCCAGAACGCCTGGCTCTCCTACCGCCTGCT